CCCTTGGGCTCTACTTTTTTCCTGCTGTACCATCGCGACTCCTCAGTCACCTGCTTCCCACCCGCCTCCCTGCAGGAAGTGAGCACCATGTTGCTAACCCAGCACAGCCAGTGCAGTGGGGACACCCCAACGCACTGAATGACCTTCACACGCGACGTTCAGGCCCTGCCGTCTCCTGGCTGCTGCCCCGGGCTCTCTGGGGAAGCTCCAGCCAGAGCACAGTGTAATGCTGGCCCCGCCCACCCACCATGTCCCCTTCCCTGTGGCCCCCGATGGTCTTTGCCCACCCCAACATTAAGACCCTGCCCATCTTCCAGCACTCAGCTGCCATCACACCTCAAACCCTCTTTGCTGCTCGGGCAGCTCAGCAAGGCACCCGTGCCCACTGCCCTCCCACCACCTCATGCCTGTGGTCACTGGTCGTCTGTGTAGGCCCCCCCTGAGGACAGAACCCTAAAAGTCACGTTATGATTTGTATTAGGACTGCGGCATTCCTCCACATGGTTACACAGAGTGCACCTCCACGCCACGGAGCACCTGTTGGTGGCGTAGAGGAACCGCTGGAAGGACCTCTAGGGAAGCATGCTGACAGAAAGGCAGAACCCAAATGCTTGCGCACTGTGTCACTCCACTTACAGACCATTCTCGAGATGACAGAATGACAGAGCGGGGGAAGAAACTATAAAAAACTCTTACTGGCCAGGTGTCGTGGCTCACACCTGTAATCCCTGCATTTGGGGAGGCTGAGGCGGGAGGACCCATTGAGTCCAGGTGGTCGAAACCAGCCTGGGAAACACAGTGAGACCCCCTTTCTAAAAGATATAAATTTTTAAAAAATAGCTGGGTGTGGGCCGGGCGTGGTGGCTCTAACCTGTAATCCCAGCACTTTGGGAAGCCAAGGCAGGCGGATCACAAAGTCAGGAGTTCAAGACCAGACTGGCCAACATGGTGAAACCCCGTCTCTACTAAAAATATAAAAATTAGTCGGGCGTAGTGGCGGATGCCTGTAGTCCCAGCTACTCAGGAGGCTGAGGCAGAAGACTCTCTTGAACCCGGGAGGCTGAGGTTGCAGTGAGCTGAGATTGCACCACTGCACTCCAGCCTGGGCAACAAAGCAAGATTCCATCTCAAAAAAA